CTACTGTATATAGCACAGGGAACTCTACTCAATATTTTGTAATAACCTGTAAGGGAAGAGAATCTGAAATATATATATATATATATATATATATGTATGTATGTATAACTGAATCGCTGTGCTGTACACCTGAAACTAACACAATTTTATAATCAACATACTTCCATAAAAAAATTAATTAGTTAAAAAAAAATGAATAAACAATTCCCGCATTGGAAGTTGAGGGCAAGTAGGTTGCAGTATTATAGAGGATGGGCAGGGTTAGCCTCATTGCAAAGGAGAGATTTGAGCAAATGCATGAAGGAGGGGAAAGTGTCAGTTAAGTGGTGGGGAGGCAGTATTGCAGCCCAGTCCCAGGCCCTTTGGAGCTGAGAGAACAGGCCAAGAGAAGGCCCTAAGGAAGGAGTCTAGCTGGTGTCTTCCTGCATGAGGAACAGTAAGGAGGCCAGGCGGCTGGAGCACAGGGCGTGATGGGGAGAGTAGCTTTTATTCTGAGTGAAATAGGGGACCATTACAGGGTTTTAAACAGAGTGCCATGATCTGAGTTATAATTTAGAAGGAATATTCTGACTCCTGTGTTAAGAAAGAAGGGGGCAAGGGTAGAACGTGGAGACCTAGTTGGAAGGATCTTGCATTAATCCAAGAGAGAGACCATGGGGGCTCCGACCAGAGCAGTAACTGGAAAGGTGGTGGTTACCTGGGTAGGGGTGGCAGTGCACGAGTGGGGTTGTGATTGGGGAGGGGCCTCACAGGGAGCCCCCTGTTGGTAATATGTTTCTTGACTTACCTGTGTGATGAATGCATGGGTGTTCATTTTATAATTATCTATTAAACTGTACATGTTTCATTGATGTTTCTGTACCTATGTTTTAATTCACAGTAAATGAGGAAATAAAGAAGTAACATAAGGAGACAAGCTAGTAAATGGCTGGGACAGGTTGGGATCCAATTCCAGTGCCTTTTACCCTACCAATCCAACCCAAGACACGCGTCCCAGCTCAGTTCCCCTATATCCTGGTGCTGTGGCTTGGGGCAAACCCTGTCACCTCTCTCAGGCCCAGTGTTTCATCTGGGAAACCAGGAAAGTACTGCCTGGCTCCCTCCCTCCCTTGGGTGCTGTGAATATCACAAAGTGTTTTGTAAACTGCCAAAAAAGCACACTTTACTGTTGCTGTTTTATTGATTTTTTTTTTTTTTTTTGCGGTACACAGGCCTCTCACTGTTGTGGCCTCTCCCATTGCGGAGCACAGGCTCCAGATGCGCAGGCTCAGCGGCCATGGCTCACGGGCCCAGCTGCTCCACGGCATGTGGGATCTTCCCAGATCGGGGCACAAACCCGCGTCTCCTGCATCGGCAGGCGGACTCTCAACCACTGTGCCACCAGGGAAGCCTGTTTTATTGAATTTAAAAAACCATCTTTACTGATATATAATTGAAGTACAATAAACTGTACATATTTAAAGTGTACCATTTGATGAGTTTTAACACATGCATACACAATGAAAATGTTACCACAATCAAGATAATACACATATCCTTTACCCCCCAAAAGTCTCCTTCTACTCCTTTGTAATCTATCCCTCCCTGCCCTATACCTCCAAGTTCCCAGGAGACACTGTTTTGCTTTTGGGCAATACAGATTAAGTTTGCATTTTCTAGAATTTTATATAAATGGAATTATATAGTCTTTTTTGTACAAATTCTTTCATTCAGCATCATTACTTTGAGATGTATCCATGTTATGCATGTATCAATAGTTCTTTCCTGGGCTTCCCTGGTGGCGCAGTGGTTGAGAATCTGCCTGTTAATGCAGGGGACATGGGTTCAAGCCCTGGTCTGGGAGGATCCCACATGCCGCGGAGCAACCAGGCCTGTGAGCCACAACTACTGAGCTTGCGCGTCTGGAGCCTGTGCTCTGCAACAAGAGAGGCTGCGATAGTGAGAGGCCTGCGCACCGAGATGAAGAGTGGCCCCCGCTTGCCACAACTAGAGAAAGCCCTCGCACAGAAACAAAGACGCACACTGCAAAAATTAATTAATAAACTCCTACCCCCAACATCTTCTTTAAAAAAACAAAAGTTCTTTCCTTTTAATAGCTGAGCAGTATTCCATTACATGGATAAACTACAATTTGTTTATCCATTGACCGGTTGATGGATATGTTTCCAGTTTGGGGCTATTACAACTAAAGCTGCTATGAATGTTCCCATAGAGCTTTGATTTCTCTTGGGTAGATTTCTAGGAGTAGAATGGCTGCGTCATATGGTAAGTGTGTTGAACTTTTTTAGAAGCTGCCAAACCGTTTCCTAAAGTGGTTAAACCATTTTACATTCTCACCAGCAGCGTGTGAGAGTTCTGGTTGCTTAACGACCTCATCAACACCTGGTAAAATCAGTCTTTTTCACTTTAACCATTATAGCGGGTGTGTAGTGGTGTCTACCTGTAGTTCTTTTTATTTATTCATTTATTTGTTTGTTTATTTATTTATTTTTGGCTATGTTGGGTCTTCACTGCTGCGCACAGGCTTTCTCTAGTTGCGGTGAGCAGGCGGTGGTTTCTTTTGTTGCGGAGCACGGGCTCTAGGCGCGCGGACTTCAGTAGTTGTGGCACACAGGCTCAGTAGCTGTGGTGCACGGGCTTAGTCGCCACGCAGCATGTGGGATCTTCCCGGACCAAGGTTCGAACCCGTGTCCCCTGCCTTGGCAGACGGATTCTCAACCACTGCGCCACCAGGGGAGCCCCGTACCTGTGGTTCTTAATTTGTATTTTCCTAATGACATCGAGCATCTTTTCATGTGCTAATTGACCTTCCACATATCTTCTTCAATGAAATAACTATTAAAATCTTTTGGTCATTTTTTAATTTATTTGTCTTACTATGGAGTTGTAAGAGCTCTTTACTTATTGTACTTACAAGTTCTTTGTCAGATAGATGTTTTGCAAATATTTTATCCCAGTCTGTGGCTTGCCTTTTAATTTTCTTAACAGTGTCTTTTTGAAGAGCAAAGAATTTTCATTTTGATGATATCAAATTTATTTTTTTTCATGTTTTTTTGCTCTATTATTTTCATCTATTTTTTTACAGTTTTATAATTCGACCTCTTATATTTAAGTCTTTTGAGTTAATTTTTGTATGTAGTATGAGGTAAGTGTCAGATTTTTGCTTATTTTGCTTTGTTTTGGCATATGGTCATCCAATTGTTCCAGCATCATTTGTCAAAAAGATTATTCTTTCCCCAGTGAGTTTCCTTAGCAACATTAATTGATCATATATGTGTGGATCTATTTATGGACTCTATTCTGTTCCATTGATTTATATATTGATCTTTATGCTAATGCCATTACTGTAGCTCTAAAGTACGTGTGTCCTCATCTCCCTCACAGGCACACAGAACTTTGAATAACAATATCACTTTGTGTAGTCATTTTTTTTTTTGGTTTTATTTTTTAAAATTTATTTAGTTATTTAGTTATTTTTGGCTGTGTTGGGTCTTTGTTTCTGTGCGAGGGCTTTCTCTGGTTGCGGCGAGCGGGAGCCACTCTTCATCGCAGTGCGAGGACCTCTCACTGTCGCGGCCTCTCTTATGGAGCACAGGCTCCAGACGCGCGGGCTCAGTAGTTGTGGCTCACGGGCCTAGTTTATCCACGGCACATGGGATCTTCCCAGACTAGGGCTCGAACCCGTGTCCCCTGCACTGGCAGGCAGATTCTCAACCACTGCACCACCAGGGAAGCCCCGTCATTATTGTTTTATGCAACTCTCTCCCTGGTTAGACAGAACTCTTCCAGGAAAGAAATCACGTTATTTTTTTATATTGGTACTAACGGTATTCTTTTTTAAAATTAAACTTATTTTGAGATAATTACAGATTCATATGCAGTTTTAAGAAATAATACAAAGACATCCCATGTACCCTTTACCCAGTTTCCCCGAATGGTAACATTTTGAAAAACTTTAGTGCAATAACTCAACTAGAAAATAGACACAGATCTTATTCAGGTTTCGCCACCTTTACATGTACTCATTGGTGTATAGTTGTGCGTAGTTAAGGGTATCTTTTTGCTATTTAAACCTTAACAGTGATTTTTGTTTGTTTGTTTTTAGCTCCCCCTATGAATACAAGGCTAAGCCCTCATAATCTCGTTGGTGTTGGAAGTTGACGTTCCAGAGTAATGTAGTAGAGACTTCCCTGGTAGCGCAATGGTTAGGAATCCGCTTGCCAATGCAGGGCACACAGGTTCAATTCCTGGTCTGGGAGGATCCCACGTGCCGTGGAGCAACTAAGCCCGCGAGCCACAACTACTGAGCCTTTGTGCCACAACTACTGAAGCCCGCGCACCAGAAGCCCCTGCTCCGCAACAAGAGAAGCCACAGAAACGAGAAGCCCACACACGGCAACTAGAGAAAGCACCCCCCCGCAGCCAAAAATAAATAAATCTTAAAAAAAAATATGTAGTAAAGGCAGAGTGTTTATTGGAACCTAGAAGAACCTAGTCCACCTTTTTTGGGGGGAAGTGGTGGTACGGGGAAGGATATCAGGAAACGCCTGGAGGGGGTAAGGGCCTGCCAGGTTGTCACTAAATGTGTCACATTGAAGGTTAGTGTCCTTAGGTGCCTGGCCCAGGGTCACGCTGTGAGTGTACACAGACCTAGCACTCCGGCTCCAAAGTCCAGGGCTCTCTCCCTCTAGTAGTGGTACACGTGCACATATCCTTGCCACGGATGCCTTACCCCTATTTGGAATTCTGCCCCCGACCTTCTTCCTGTTTTCCTGACTGTATATTCTGAACGCCACGCAACGCCGAGAAGAACCGATGTAGCGTGCAACAGCCAACATTACAGAGCGCTCCCGCCTCGCAGGCGCCTTGCAGCCGCTGGCCACGAACTCCTCTCGCCCAGCTCAACGCGCGGCTGCCTGGACGCATGCGCACGCTGGCAGCGGTTGTACCCGGGACTCAGCCTTGCGCGCGAGGGGCGGGGCCGGAAGCAAGTCTACGTCTCCCTGTTGGTAAGAGACGGAGCTTCCACAAGCCAGACAGACGTACTCAGGCTTCTTTTCCTCCCTTTCTCCGCTTCATCGTCTCCGAATTGCGTCACCATGGCGGACCCAGAAACTGAAGGCCTGCGAAGCATCTTCCCCTCTTACATGGCGGAGGGCGAGCGGCTCTATCTGTGCGGGGAGTTCGCTAAAGCCGCCCATAGCTTCAGCAACGTGAGTCGCGCTCCGAACCTATCAGCCACCCATCACTGAGGTCCTGATGATTCCTGAACCACCCTATTGTTTCCATTATTTCACTGTTACTGATTGATGCACACCTGTCACAGATAAGCCCCTGTTTGGCCGTTTTCTACCAATTCCCACTTGCTTTCTGCCTGGTTGTTAATAACCAACCTCTGTGTTGACACTGACCTCGTCTCCTACTTTTTTACTCAAATGTTTCGCGATTGGCCTCCTTCCTCAGTTTCCCATAACTGGTTGGGAGATTGGCTGGGAGGCTGCTTGCAGAAGTGAAGTCTGGCACACGGTTGCTTCTGGAAGGTGGTCAGTGAATAACTAACATCATAAAACTTTAGTATAAATAGCTCCACTCGATCCTAAGGGGATTGAGTGCTATTTTAGGATACCAGGCGTACTGTTAAGTGGCAAGCTTATGGGGGAGGTGCTGTTATTACGCCATTTTGTAGATGAGGAAACTGACATAGAAGTCGAGTAACACGCCCAAGATCACTGAACTAACGAGTGGCAGAGGAAGGATTCAAACTCAGGCACTCAGACTTCAGTGCTGAGGTGCTAACCACCATACTCTACTGTACTGTCTCCCAAATAAGCTTTCGTATGTTTTCATGACTGTTTCTTTTATAACAAATAGCCCGCTTGGTACAAATGGAGTGGTAGGATAGCCCTGTAACCAGTCCGAAGGCTCCCCCTAAAGTCAAGCTTCTCAACTGCTACCTAGAGTCTTTTGGCCCTTTGGATCACCAACCACATCCTAACACCAAAAATAATTGATCGGATGGGCCAGCAATTAAGTTAAGGGGCCCTGCCCCGCGCATTCTCCTCTTTCTGGATCCTGTTTCATCCTGGAGAAGCTCAGGTAGTGAGAAAAGAACATCTTGAGGGCCTATAGCTTTAGGTGAGAAGTGGGCTTTTCTAGGAAGAGAAAGTAGCTACTTTCTCTTCCTGGAAAAGTGTGAAGGTCTTAGACAGGGGCGGGTACAGTCTGATGCCTCAGGAAGGACAGTACACTGCAGACTATGGTAATGGTCTTAAGAGAAGGGAGGACATGGGGAGTAGGGGAAGCATTCTGCTGCCACTTTAGGGCCAAAATCACAGGTTCCATTTTCCCCGCACTTTCATCTTAATCCCCTGAAATAGTGATTCATTCTCAAATAAGCTATGTAAAAAGAGAGGGCACGTGGCATGGATAACCAAGTTGCAGATTGTCTAAAATCCATTTTGTTAGCCTCCAGAAGGCTAGCCTCCGAGTAGTATTTTGAATGTGTTGTGCAGCCATTACGGGTTCATGGTTGAATTTTTATGCACCAAACACCCTATGATTCTAAGTGGACTGGAGGCATCCCAGACACTAGGAGAAATTCCGAATATCCACGGGGTAGCATGTTCTCACATCTCAACCAGTGGTTTCCACAGTAGCTTGTGATTTTACCTTGTTCCAGATGAGCCAGATGCAGATAACCTAGTTGACTGAGCGGAGATCAGTGTGGTGCTGCTTTTAGTCTGAAAAGATCCAAAAGACCTGTTTGCTGGCCTGTGGAGTCCCCTTGAAACTCTGGCAGGAGGGTTTGGGCTGCTGTGTCCGTTTCGGCTTCTTACCTCGCCCTGCCTGGTGCCTGTTGACCTGAGTGGTTTCTTTCTCAGGCTCTTCACCTTCAGAACAGAGATAAGAACTGCTTGGTTGCCCGCTCCAAGTGCTTCCTCAGGATGGGAGAGCTGGAGAAATCCCTGGAAGATGCTGAGGCTTCACTCCAGGGTGACCCGACTTTCTGCAAGGTGACCGTAAGGGTGGGAGGACTCACTCTTTCTTCATCACTGCCACCGGCTGCAACAGCCTCTGGTTAGTACTGGTTGAAGAACCAGCCAGACTGCCTGGAGTTGATTGCCGTTTCCCTTCATAGGTTACTTGCCTGGCTCTCTGCCCCTGTATCCCAACATTTATCCTCAAGCCAGGGACCCTTCTGTTCCACCACACCTGAGTCCTAGAAGGCCTTGTCTGCCCTCCTTGATTTGACTTGCTCTCATTTCAGGGGATTTTACAAAAGGCGGAGACCCTGTACACCATGGGAGACTTTGAATTTGCCTTGGTGTTCTATCATCGAGGCTACAAGCTGAGGCCCGATCGGGAATTCAGAGTTGGAATTCAGAAAGCCCAGGAAGCCATCAACAATTCAGTGGGAAGTGAGTGACCGTGAGGCCTATGCCCTTATCCAGGAGGCTCCTGGAATCCTTAGGTTTGGGGGAAGGCCCGAGGTGCACTGGGTGAGCAGCTACCACCGCAAGGGCTACAGGGAGTCCCAAGCGTGGATCTGGCCGCTCATGATTTCCTTGAGGATTAGGAACTGTCCACTGGGAAGACCAGTCCCCCGATCCGCTGTACCGAGCACTGCAGTGTCTGGTTCTCTCCAAAGCCAGATGAGAAGCACCATTTTACTCACCCCAAGACAGACGAGTAGGGCTCTTTTTGGCCTGCTGTCATAGGGTAGAATGTGGTCCTGAGCCCAGCCTTCCCCGGTCCCTGGCTTCCTCCCTTACCTCATACGCACCAAGGGCTGGCTCTGCCCATCAGCTTAGTGGGGGTGGGGGTGGGTGGAGAGCTTGCCACTGTGGGCGGCAGAATGTGGAAGTGGAGAGCACCCCTGGCGCCCAGGGTCTGCTGTGGCCTTAGGCTAGTGGGGGCTGCCTGGCTCCTAGGAGAGTGTTGAACCATTTGCTTGCTAGCCAGCTTCCACCATCCTCCTGCCAAAGGCAACTATTTCCACATAAAATAGGTGATAGATTGTGCCTGGGGGCCCGGCCGACCTGAGCCCCAGCTTTTGTCCTTGCAGGTCCTTCTTCTATTAAGCTGGAGAACAAAGGGGACCTGTCCTTCTTAAGCAAGCAGGCGGAGGTAAGGGCCCTGGCTGCTCTGACATCATGTCCTTCGGAAGGCAGAGGCCACACGTGCCTGAGGAGCACAGGAAGTTCAGCTCGGTGCTCTGTGATGACCTACAGGGGTGGGATGGGGGCAGTGCTGGGAGGGAGGCCCAAGAGGGAGGGGATATAGGTATACATAGAGCTGATTCACTTTGTTATACTGCAGAAACTAACACACTACTGTAAAGCAATTATACTCCAATAAAAAAACCAAGTCTTAATGGCCCTCGTGCCTGGGAGTGATGAGCTCCTGGCCAGTGCGGGCAGTCATGAGATTCTGCCCCAGCTCCTGAGGGGTTTTGGGAGTGTAGCTGTTCCTGGACCAGACACACTCCATGGTTCTCAGCCCACGGAGGTCCTGGAGGGAGCGGTCTGGGATCACAGGCTCAGGGGACCTTGGCTGGGTGCTCCAGGCTCCTTTCTCAGGCTCTGTTGGGTATTGCTCCATATTCCCAGAGCGTGAAAGCCCAGCAGAAGCCTCATCCCGTGAGACAGCTGGTACACCATCCCAAGAGAGAGTCCAAGCGGAAGGGCTCGCTCAAGAGCGAGAAGACCATCCGACAGCTCCTGGGCGAGCTCTACGTGGACAAGGAGTATCTGGAGAAGCTCCTGTTGGATGAAGGTTTCAGACACTTTTTTTGCAACAGGGAACTCGGGGCGAAGGAAATCTGGGGTGGATGCTTAATGTATAAGCCAGAGGCAGAGCTTTTCAAAGGATATTTGCTGACACGTTCCTCTGGAACCATTCTCATTTTACCATTCTCATTTTACAGATGAGGAAACTGAGGCGTAGGAAGGTTAAGTAACTCAGTGACACGGCTCTCGGATTTGAATCCAAGAAGTCCAGTTTCTGAACCAGAGCTCTTAAGTGCTATGGTACCCTGGGAGGGAACGCCGGAGATTTACCACTGCGGTCCCCAAAGGGGTATCCCCTGAGCCTTCAGTCTGTACAGAGGGCAAAGGAATCCAGCTTGGAGGTGCTAGAAGGGAAATCCTAGGACCGTGGAACCGTAATGTCCTAAAACCTCATCTTCTCTAATCCCTCCTTTTATCAGAGAGACCCCGAATGGGGAGTAACTTGTCCAAGGTGACGAGCAAGCTAGTGGCGGAGTTGGCAGCAGAGCCCAGGCCTCCTAACCTCCAGTGCAGCACTCTTCCCACCACACCATGCTGGCAGGGAGAGGAAATAGGACAGAGCCTATTTCCTCATCAGACATTCATTATATGACTGTCTCCTATAAACATGGGTGGTGGGAGTGTTGCCATTAGCTATTGAACCTGAGCCGGGATCACCCTTGAAGCCAATGCCTTTTCTCCAGAACTGACTTCCCAAGGTCCTGTGTAGGATTCCTGGCAGGTTGCGTCTCAGGGGCAGCTTCACTGCTGGCACAACTCCTCTGTAACAGGCCTGGATGCTTCCCTCCCTGCAGAGGAGCTTCCATGGAAGCAAGAGGTGGCCGGAACATTACCCAAGTGGCCTTGCAGCTTTGCTCCCAGCTCTGACCTCTGGTTAGGCAGGTGGGCAGAGCTCGGGCATGCCCCTCCAGGTCCCAGCTTGCACTGGCACACTTGGCACCTGGGGACTTGCTTGTCACTGGCAACCTGGACCAGGTTGTGCATTTCGACTTTGTCTTCTCTGAGGACACAGCTTGAAATAAGGGAGCCCCGAGGGCTGGGAGCTTTTCAGAAAGCTATCTACCAGCTGCTGCTTCTGCTAGCTCATCATGTCTTGTCGTAAGGGGCCTATGCTCGAAGCCCTGTGCCATGAGAGTGCCTGAAGAAGGGGGCTCTGGCCTTGTCTGGACCCAGTTAGACCCGCTCTCCCACCCATGTGCTCTTGCTTTCATTACTGTCCCCCAATTCCAGGGAGAGGTCCCCACAGGGAGACCCTTAGCCAAGAGGAGGTGACTCCCCTTAGACGCCTCCCCACACCCTTGCCCACAGACCTGATCAGAGGCACCATGAAGTGCGGCCTGACCGTGGAGGACCTCATCATGACGGGCGTCAACTACCTGGACAGGCGCAGTGACTTCTGGAGGCAGCAGAAGCCCATCTACGCCAGGGAGCGGGACCGGAAACTGATGCAAGAGAAGTGGCTGCGGGACCGCAAGCGCCGGCCCTCACAGACGGCCCGCTACATCCTCAAGAGCCTGGAGGACATTGACATGTGTGGGTGGTGCTCTCAGAAGGGCGGGCCTGTGGCCAGGTGGGGACAGAGCCGCACGGCAGCCGGAGCCCCTGGCTTCGCTGGCCTGTGGATGGAATCTGGAGGGGGAAGTGGGCTCCCCTGTCATCCGGGGCGGGGGGGCTGCTCCCCGCTCCATACCGCCTCTCTCCCTTCCCAGTGCTGACCAGCGGCAGTGCTGAAGGCAGCCTTCAGAAAGCTGAGAAAGTGTTGAAGAAGGTTCTGGAATGGAACAAAGAGGAGGTGCCCAACAAGGACGAACTGGTTGGAAACTTGCACAGCTGCATAGGGAATGCCCAGATCGAGCTGGGGCAGATGGTGGCAGCCCTGCAGAGCCACAGGAAGGACCTGGAGATCGCCAAGGAATAGTGAGTGCCTGCAAGGGCTTGGAAGGCCAAGCGGCTGAGGCCTGGGGCGGGGGCTACGTCTCGGCCTTTTGCCAGGGCTGCTGGTGGCTGAGCTCCCACTTTCTGCCCTGCGTGCCTGAGGTGGATTCCCCCAGAGGGAGGAGCCACCTATCCAGGACAAGGGCACACCTAGAATGTCAGCGTTTTTTGCCACAAAAGGAAGGTAGTGGCCCCAGATTCCAAAAAGCTCCCAGTGGTTTGGCTCTTAGGGATATTTTTATTTTTATGTCATCTCCACAAGCATTCATCAACTCCAGACATGCCAGATGTTGCTAGCATTGCGAACACAGCAGTGACCAGACACAAGGCTCATTTCCCCGCAGAGATAAAACAAAAAGTGACACAGCTAATAAATCGCAACTGTGATAAGTGTCATAAGGAAAAAGTACAGGACCCAGTGCTACGAAAAGTGTATTCCAGGAGGACTTGACTGGGTGTTGGGGACACACTTGGCTTGTGGAGGGCCCAGAGGTTGGCAGGAGGGAGCTTAAGGCCGAGAGGAGACTGGACCAAGCAGGTAGGGGTTGGATCAAGCAGGGCCTCGGAAACCATGGCACTAAGAGCTTGGGCTTCGAAGTTGTACCTCCCAGCTGTGGGGCCTTAGGCAGGCACTTAACTAACCTCTTGCAGCCTGGGTCTCCTCTGTCAAATGGACAGAACAGTAGCTCTTACCCGATAGGGTAGCAGGGAGGGCGACATGCAGAAGTTTACATGAAGATCTCCGAACAGCGCTGCGTGTCTGTGATGAATACTGTGTTGGTTCTCGGGAACCAACTCTTCCCGAGACTTGATGGCCCCTCTCAGGGGTACCATCACTTTCTGGGCACCCTGGTTCTAACCTCTGGAGTCATTTGTGACCTTCTCTTGCCCGGTTCTACTCGCCCCACAGTTCTGAGCCTCTTTCAGTCTCCCATCCTCCTATTTCTGTTTTAACTTTTTAAAAACTTATTTAATTTACTTATTTTGGCCACACTGGGTCTTAGTTGCAGCATGCGGGATCTCTTATTGTGGCACACAGACTTCTTAGTTGTGGCATGCGGGATCTAGTTCCCCGACCAGGGATCGAACCCGGGCCCCCTGCATTGGGAGCACGGAGTCTTAGCCACTGGACCGCCAGGGGAGTCCCTCCCATCCTCCCACTTCCTCTCAGGTCAGCCCTCACCTCTCCCTGCCTCGAGCTGCTCCCACACGTCACCTCCAGAGACATGCTGATTTTCACCTGTCGACTGTCCTTCCACTGCTGACACACAGGCCTTGGGCCCTCACCTCCTGCAGGTTAAAAGCAAATGCCTTCGCTTGGCACTCAGGGCCCTCTCTGAACCCACTTCTGCACAGCCCTCCAATGTCAGTCCACCCTTCTGGGCCAAACCGGATCTCCTGAACACGCCCGCCACCTGTGTTCTCCCCCTTGCTCATCCGAGTCCTAGAAGCCGTCCGTCCGTTCCCAGCTCATTTCTCACCTGCCCTCACCGTGCTGAGCAGGAATCTCGCATGTTGGCCATTCCAGGAGTAGAAAACAAGCAAACAACAACCAGCTTTGGAGACAGACCTGAATTTGATTCCTGCCTTTGGCACTCAGAAGCAGTGTGGATTTGATTCAGTTGCTGACCCTCTCAGTTTCCTCATCTCTAATGAAGGCATAATAATACCAACTCATGGGGATTTTGAGGATTAAATAAGTATATACAGTACTTTGGATCCAACGTTCTCCCGTGCCCTAAAGACATAAATCTTTACTTCTTGCCTCCCTTCTGAGCTCCGGACCTGCATATGCAACAGAGTCCAAGGCATTTCCACTTGGATGTCCCACAAGAGCCCCATATTTAACATATCCAAAGTGGAGCCCCTCATCTTCCTGCCAAATCTCTTGCTTCAGGACCCCCTATCCGTGAAGATGGCACTGGTGGCCACTCAGTCCCCAGGAAGGAGCCAAGGTAGCTTCCCAGACACCTCCCTCCCCTTACCACTCACGCCAGCCCGCCATGGCCCATCCACGCCTCCTCCTGCCATCAAGAGAACATTCCCCGGACTTCCCTGGTGGTGCAGTGGTTAAGGATCTGCCTGCCAATGCCGGGGCCACGGGTTCGTGCCCTGGTCCGGGAAGATCCCACATGCTGTGGAGCAACTAAGCCCGTGCGCCACAACTACTGAGCCTGCGCTCTAGAGCCCGCGAGCCACAACTACTGAGCCCACATGCTGCAACTACTGAAGCCCGTGTGCCTAGAGCCTGTGCTCCGCAACAAGAGAAGCCACGGCAATGAGAAGCCCACGCACCACGATGAAAAGTAGCCCCCGCTCGCCGCAACTAGAGAAAGCCCGCACACAGCAATGACCCAATGCAGCCAAAATAAATAAACTAATTAATTAAAAATAAATTTTAAAAAAATTCCCTTCTCTCATTCCCTCCCACAGCTCAGTCCAGACCTTCCTCATTTCTTGCCTGTTTCCTCCGACCTGGGTTTCCTGCCGCCCAGCTGGCCCTTCTGTGCAAAACAAAGCCAGTGGTCGGGAGACAGTTCCAGCGCCCGGGTCTGCTCAGGTCAGACCGTCCTTCCTGACCTGACTTACCCTGACCTCGGTTGACCAGGCTCTCTCCGGGCCCTTGGGCATCCTGAGCCCTGGCCAGCACCTCTCGGCTCTGCTTCTGTTCAGCCTTCTCTTTTGCCAGCCCTTTCTTCATCAGCTCCCTCCTCCCCATCCTTCAAATTGTAAAGAAGTGTTTTTTTCTTGGGGAAAGCCCACCACGTGCCCCAGAGTGACTTAGCAGCCCTCCTCGGTGCTCCCTCTCCACACGCCATACGTTTCTCGCCTGCCCTGTAGACCTTGGACTTTTCTACTCCCTTTCTCTTCCCAGCATCTGCCACGTAATGGGCATGTGATGCATGTGTGCTAAGTGGCTGATTAAGCAAACAGAGGTGTTCCTTAAACAAGCTTAGTTCCTTTGCAACATCCACAAACGGGCCTCCAGTCTTTTTTTTTTTTTTTTTTTCCCCTTGGCTGCGCTGGGTCTTAGTTGCAGCATGTGAGATCTTTTTAGTTGCGGCATGCATGCGGGATCTAGTTCCCCGACCAGGGATCGAACCCAGGTCCCCTGCATTGGGAGCACTGGAGTCTTACCCGCTGGACCACCAGGGAAGTCCCCGGGCCGCCAGTCTCACCCATGAGTCTCACCTGTGTGCCCCACGGGTGTCCTCAGTGGAATCAGCCCTGCCCCCACCTCCAAAGCCCACCATCCTTCCAGGCGCAGCTCAAATCCCAACTTGTCTGAGCAGCTTCTTCAGTGACCCCAGCCCTCAATTCCTTTCTCTGATTACTCTGTGGATGACTTGATGGCAGGCTTTCTCAGTCCCACTACTGTCAAAGATAACAGTACACATTATTGTTATGAACAAAGTAACATATTTCAACTTGTCTCTTCACACCGGAAAAGAGCATCCACTCTGGAAGGGGAGGCTGACATCAGAGCAGCAAACGTGGCCCAGAAGCCGAAGAGAGAGGAGCTGAGGGGGCCTCAGAGAGGAGGGAAGGAAAAGATAGGACAAGAGGGGTGGCTCCCTAGGCAGAGGGACAGGGCAGGGGTGGAGGGCTGGGGGAACGGCAGCTCGTGTGCTGGGCAGGGGGGCCAGGACCTGTGGGGAGGGAGGAGGGAGGACCTAGCCGGAAGTAGTGAGGGCCAATGAGGGCTTTGTTTTCACACCAGTCCGCGGCCTTGTGCTCAACCCAGAACTGTGTGGTGCTAAGTCTCCCCACAGCCCTCAACACCACACTCCCCTCGCTTCCCTGCGGCCGCGTTGAGATGTGTCCCCTTGGCCCCTTTTCAATGTATTTACCTACATATTTACGTACATGTACACATACATAGGATTTTTAAAACAGAAGTGACTCACTTCTGTGGTTTCTTAAAAAAGAACGTGCCTTGGAAAGGAATGTCTTATTCTTCGAATAGCTTCATAGAAAGGTATTTCAGCACCCACAGTATGCACGTAGGTAACTGCATCCCTGCGGACAGACACTGAGGCTGTTCCCTTTTGCCAGCACACACAGAGCTTCGCTGAGACTGCAGACAGATGTGGGTATGTCTGCGGGTAGACGGATGGCTTGGTCAGGTTTGCATTTAAAAGGCAGCGGGGCCACGGTGGGGAGACTAAATCAGAGCAGAGTTTCCTGGAAGACGAGGAAGTCTGCCACTGTGGGCCAGGGGCTGAGGGGCGAAGGGAAGAAGGGGAGCTTGCCTGAGAAGGGAGGGAGTCAGGGAGGGATGCTGGGGGAGGGGGCTGCGGTTGGGGGAGGGCTTTCTTGGTTTATTTGTTGGGAAGGAGGTATTTTTTAACAGATCAGAATGTTCATATGGTAATATGGTAATAGTAAAGAACCAGTGTAGGGGGGAGCGATTGCCTTTTCTTTATGGAAATATCTTTTTTTTTAAGGTGTAAATTTTTTTACTGAAGTATAGTTGATGTACAATGTTGTGTTAATTTCTGCTGCACAGCAAAGTGATTCAGTTACACATATACATTCTTTTTCATATTATTTTCCACTTGATTTATCACAGGATATTGAATATAGTTCCCTGTGCTCTACCGTAGGACCTTGTTGTTTATCCATTCTGTACATAATAGTTCCATCTGTTAACCCCAAACTCCCCCTCCACCCCCCCCCCCCCCCCGCCATTTATGAAAATATATTCATCGCTTTTCTGATGACACGTGAATACTGAAAAGATTATGTGGCTAAATTAAAAGTTTCCTTCGTACTCTCATTTCCCTTGGGTAATCACTGTTAATAGTTAGATTTACATCCTCTATTTCTTTTTAAAATGCCCGCTTTTTAATTTATTTACTTATTTTTTGGTGGTTTAAAACAACGCATTTATTCTCTTATAGTTCTGGGGGTTGGCTGTCTGAAGGCAGTTTCCCTGGCCATAATCAAGGTGTTGGTAGGGCCACACTCCTCCCAGAGGCTCTGGGGAGAATCAGTTTCCTTGCCTTTTCCAGCTTCTAGAGCTGCAGTTACTGCACTCCTGGGCTCGTGGCCCCTTCCTCCATAGTCAGAGCTTTGAGCACAGCTTCTGCTTCAGGCCCGCACATTCACTTTTAACACTTAATGGGGCAACGGACGTTGTATGTGCTCCCATAATCTGACTTTTTAACTTAATGTATCAGGGACTTTTTTCGTACACAAAAAATTGCACTGATTGAATTCAGATTGTTTCCACTGTTTATTACTACAAACAACACTCTCTTGAGTGTCCTTGTTACGTTATATTCTGGAGGTGAATTCCTAGAAGGGGAGTTGCTGGACCAAAGGGATATCTTTGCAAGCTGTTGCCTGTTTGCCCTCCGGAAAAGTCCCGATAATGTCCGTTCCCGGCCACAGGGCTCAAGAGGGCCTGGGTACTGCAGCCTTGCCAGCCTGGGCATCGTCCCTCCAACTGGCCCGTCTTTGCCTTCTTTTCAGTTTCCATAGTGCCTAGAATGGCCTTGTCTTGCTTCTTCCCCACAGTGATCTTCCTGATGCCAAGTCCAGGGCCCTGGACAACATTGGCAGGGTTTTTGCCAGAGTTGGGAAATTCCAGCAAGCCATTGACACGTGAGTGACCCGGGACTGTCCCCTCCCTACTCTGGGGCCAGGACATCCCACCCTCCCACTGGACTCCCAGACTGGGGCAGGATGTCAGGCAAAGAGGCATCGGAAGATCCGAGTTTGGCTCCTGGCTGTGCTAAGCGACCAGGGGCAAGCCACTTCGTAAACTCTGTGGCTCATCAGTTAAATTAATTAATAGAATAGAATCATTATTTTCTCCAAATTTCCCAGTGACAAGAGTCACCGAGGACACTTGTTAGGCGTATGAATTACTGGGCCTCTCCGCTGGAAATTCTCATTCTCCAGGTCTGGGTTAGAGCTCAGGAATCTGACTTTAACAAGTACTCCAGGTGACACTTACTTTGGGCAAGTTCAGGACCAGGTGGACCATTGACTTCTGGGAGCCCTTCAGCGGTTATTCTGTCCCTCTGTGCAGTCACATGGGGTCACTGGGAATGGAGTCTGAGCTCTCCAGAGGGCTTAACTGCTGGACTTTTCATGTCCAGCCCTGGGGCTGGTGACCTGCTCCAGTGGGGTGACTCAGCCCCAGGGAGACTCGGGAGCGGGCTTGACCGCACAGAGAGAAGTTGTCCTTCAGGCCTTCGTGGCTTGACTGGAATAGACTCGATCACCAGAGCCTTCTGTTCCACATCATATGGTTTCCCGAATGGCCCCTGGTGTCTAGCTGCCAAAAGACAGAGGCCTGTGAGTGTTTACCTACCCACTTGTATCTTTTTTACATTAAAATACATATATTTCTTTTTAAATAAAAATTTAATACATGTCAATCCCAATCTCCCAATTCATCACCCCCCCACCCCCACCGCTTTCCCCCCTTGGTGTCCATACGTTTGTTCTCTACATCTGTGACTCAATTTCTGCCCTGCAAACTAGTTCATCTGTACCATTTTTCTAGGTTCCACATATATGCATTAATATACGATATTTGTTTTTCTCTTTCTGACTTACTTCTCTCTGTATGACAGTCTCTAGATCCACCCATGTCTCTACAAATGACCCAATTTCGTTCCTTTTTATGGCTGAGTAATATTCCATTGTATATATGTACCACATCTTCTTTATCCATTCATCTGTCAATGGGCATTTAGGTTGCTTCCATGACCTGGCTATTGTAAATAGTGCAGCAATGAATGTTGGGGTGCATGTGTCTTTTTGAATTATGGTTTTCTCTGGGTATATGCCCAGTAGTGGGATTGCTGGGTCATGTGGTAGTTCTATTTTTAGATTTTTAAGGAACCTCCATACTGTTCTCCATAGTGGCTATATCAATTTACATTCCTACCAACAGTGCAAGAGGGTTCCCTTTTCTCCACACCCTCTCCAGCATGTGTTGTTTGTACATTTTCTGATGATGCCCATTCTAACTGGTGTGAGGTGATACCTCACTGTAGTTTTGATTTGCATTTCTCTAATAGTGATGTTGAGCAGCTTTTCATGTGCTTCTTGGCCATCTGTATGTCTTCTTTGGAGAAATGTCTATTTAGGTCTTCTGCCCATTTTTGGATTGGGTTGTTTGTTTTTTTAATATTGAGTTGCATGAGCTGTTTAAATATTTTAGAGATTAATCCTTTGTCCGTTGATTTGTTTGCAAATATTTTCTCCCATTTTGAGGGTTGTCTTTTCGTCTTGTTTATGGTTTCCTTTGCTGTGCAAAAGCTTTTAAGTTTCATTAGGTCCCATTTGTTTATTTTTGTTTTTATTTCCATTACTCCAGGAGGTGGATCAAAAAAGATCTTGCTGTGATTTATGTCAAAGAGTGTTCTTCCTGTGTTTTCCTCTAAGAGTTTTATAGTGTCCAGTCTTACATTTAGGTCTCTAATCCATTTTGAGTTTATTTTTGTGTATGGTGTTAGGGAGGTTTCTAATTTCATTCTTTTACATGTAGCTGTCCAGTTTTCCCAGCACCACTTATTGAAGAGACTGTCTTTTCTCCATTGTATATCCTTGCCTCCTTTGTCATAGATTAGTTGACCATAGGTGCATGGGTTTATCTCTGGGCTTTCTATCTTGTTCCATTGATCTATATTTCTGTTTTTGTGCCAGTACCATATTGTCTTGATTACTGTAGCTTTGTAGTATAGTCTGAAGTCAGGGAGTCTGATTCCTTCAGCTCCGTTTTTTTCCCTCAAGACTGCTTTGGCTATTCGGGGTCTTTTGTGTCTGCATACAAATTTTAAGATTTTTTGTTCTAGTTCTGTAACAGATGCCATTGGTAATTTGATAGGGATTGCATGGAATCTGTAGATTGCTTTGGGTAGTATAGTCATTTTCACAATATTGATTCTTCCAATCCAAGAACATGGTATATCTCTCCATCTGTTGGTATCATCTTTAATTTCTTTCATCAGTGTCTTATAGTTTTCTGCATACAGGTCTTTTGTCTCCCTAGGTAGGTTTATTCCTAGATATTTTATTCCTTTTGTTGTAATGGTAAATGGGAGTGTTTCCTTATTTCTCTTTCAGATTTTTCATCATTAGTGTATAGGAATGCAAGAGATTTCTGTGCATTAATTTTGTATCCTGCTACTTTACCAAACTCATTGATTAGCTCTAGTAGTTTTCTGGTGACATATTTAGGGTTCTCTATGTATAGTATCGTGTCATCTGCAAACAGTGACAGTTTTACTTCTTCTTTTCCAATTTGTATTCATTTTATTTCTTTTTCTTCTCTGATTGCCGTGGCTAGGACTTCCAAAACTATGCTGAATAATAGTGGTGAGAGTGGACATCTTTGTCTTGTTCCTGATCTTAGAGGAAATGCTTTCAGCTTTTCACCATTGAGAATGATGTTTGCTGTGGGTTTGTCCTGTGTGGCCTTTATTATGTTGAGGTAGGTTCCCTCTATGCCCACTCTCTGGAGAGTTTTTATCATAAATGGGTGTTGAATTTTGTCAAAAGCTTTTTCTGCATCTATTGAGATGATCATATGGTTTTTATTCTTCAATTTGTTAATATGGTGTATCACATTGATTGATTTGCGTATATTGAAGAATCCTTGCATCCCTGGGATAAATCATGGTGTATGATCCCTTTAATGTGTTGTTGGATTCTGTTTGCTAGTATATTGTTGAGGATTTTTGCATCTATATTCATCGGTGATATTGGTCTGTAATTTTCTTTTTTTGTAGTACCTCTGGTTTTGGTATCAGGGTGATGGTGGCCTCATAGAATGAGTTTGGGAGTGTTCCTTCCTCTGCAATTTTTTGGAAGAGTTTGCGAAGGGTGGGTTTAGCTCTTCTCTAAATGTTTGATACAATTCACCTGTGAAGCCATCTGGTCCTGGACTTCTGTTTGTTGGAAGATTTTTAATCACAGTTTCAATTTCATTACTTGTGATTGGTCTGTTCATATTTTCTATTTTTTCCTGGTTCAGTCTTGGAAGGTTATACCTTTCTAAGAATCTGTCCATTTCTTCCAGGTTGTCCATTTTATTGGCATAGAGTTGCTTGTAGTAGTCTCTTAGGATGCTTTGTATTTCTGTGGTGTTCGTTGTAACTTTTTCAATTCTAATTTTATTGATTTGAGTCCTCTCCCTCTTTTTTTTTTTTTTTTTTTTTGCGGTATGCGGGCCTCTCACCGCTGCGGCCTCTCCCACCGCGGAGCACAGGCTCCAGACGCGCAGGCCCAGTGGCCATGGCTCACAGGCGCAGCCGCCCCGCGGCATGTGGGATCCCCCCGGACCGGGACACGAACCCGTGTCCCCTGCATCGGCAGGCGGACTCCCAACCACTGCGCCATCAGGGAAGCCCCTCTCCCTCTTTTTCTTGAGTCTAGCTAATGGTTTATCAATTTTGTTTATCTTCTCAAAGAACCAGCTTTTAGTTTTATTGATCTTTGCTATTGTTTTCTTTGTTTCTATTTCATTTATTTCTGCTCTGATCTTTATGATTTCTTTCCTTCTGCTAACTTTGGGTTTTGTTTCTTCTTCTTTTTCTAGTTCCTTTAGGTGTAAGGTTAGATTGTTTATTTGAGATTTTTCTTGTTTCTTGAGGTAGGCTTGTACAGCTATAAACTTCCCTCTTAGAGCTGCTTTTGCCACATCCCATAGGTTTTGGATCATCGTGTTTTCATTGTCATTTGTCTCTAGGTATTTTTTGATTTCCTCTTTAATTTTTTCAGTGATCTCTTGGTTATTTAGTAACGTATTGTTTAGCCTCCATGTGTTTGTGTTTTTTACGTTTTTTTCCCTGTAATTGATTTCTAATCTCATAGCGTTGTGGTCAGAAAATATGCTTGATATGATTTCAATTTTCTTAAATTTACTGAGGCTTGATTTGTGACCCAAGATGTGATCTATCCTGGAGAATGTTCTGTGCACACTTGAGAAGAAAGTGTAATCTGCTGTTTTGGGGTGGAATGTCCTATAAATATCAATTAAATCTATCTGGTCTATTGTGTCATTTAATGCTTGTGTTTCCTTATTACTTTTCTGTTTGGATGATCTGTCCATTGGTGTAAGTGAGGTGTTAAAGTCCCCCACTATTATTGTGTTACTGTCCATTTCCTCTTTTACAGCTGTTAGCAGTTGCCTTATGTAATGAGGTGTTGCTATGTTGGGCGCATATGTATTTATAATTGTTATATGTTCTTCTTGGATTGATCCCTTGATCATTAAATAGTGTCCTTCCTTGCCTCTTGTAACATTCTTTATTTTAAAGTCTATTTTATCTGATACGAGTATTGCTACTCCAGCTTTCTTCTGATTTCCATTTGCATGGAATATCTTTTTCCATCCCCTCACTTTCAGTCTGTATGTGTCCCTAGGTCTGAAGTGGCTCTCTCGTAGACAGCATATATATGGGTCTTGTTTTTGTATCCATTCAGCAAGCCTGTGTCTTTTGGTTGGAGCATTTAATCCATTCACGTTTAAGGTAATTATCAATATGCATGTTCCTATTACCATTTTCTTAATTGTTTCGGGTTTGTTTTTGTAGGTCCTTTTCTTCTCTTGTGTTTCCCACTCAGAGAAGTTCCTTTAGCATTTGTTGTAGAGCTGGTTCGGTGGTGCTGAATTCTCTTAGCTTTTGCTTGTCTGTAAAGCTTTTAATTTCTCCATGGAATCTGAATGAGATCCTTGCTGGGTAGAGTAATCTTGGTTGTAGGTTCTTCCCTTTCATCACTTTAAGTATATCATGCCACTCCCTTCTGGCTTTGTAGAGTTTCTGCTGAGAAATCAGCTGTTAACCTTATGGGAGTTCCCTTGTATGTTATTTGTCGTTTTTCCCTTGCTGCTTTCAATAATTTTTCTTTGTCTTTAATTTTTGCCAGTTTGATTACTATGTGTCTCAGTGTGTTTCTCCTTGGGTTTATCCTGTATGGGACTCTGTGTGCTTCCTGGACTTGGGTAGCTATTTCCTTTCCTATGTTAAGGAAGTTTTCGACTATAATCTCTTCAAATATTTTCTTAGGCCCTTTCTCTCTGTCTTCTCCTTCTGGGACCCCTATAATACAAATGTTGTTGTGTTTAATGTTGTCCCAGAGGTCTCTTAGGCTGTCTTCATTTCTTTTCATTCTTTTTTCTTTATTCTGTTCCACAGCAGTGAATTCCACCATTCTGTCCTCCAGGTCACTTATCCGTTCTTCTGCCTGAGTTATTCTGCTATTGATTCCTTCTAGTGTATTTTTCATTTCGGTTATTGTATTGTTCATCTCTGTTTGTTTGTTCTTTAATTCTTCTAGATCTTTGTTAAACATTCCTTGCATCTTCTCGATATTTGCCTCCATTCTTTTTCCAAGGTCCTGGATCATCTTCACTATCATTATTCTGAATTCTTTTTCTGGAAGGTTGCCTATATCCACTTCATTTAGTTGTTTTTCTGGGGTTTTATCTTGTTCCTTCATCTGGTACATAGCCCTCTGCCTTTTCATCTTGTCTATCTTTCTGTCAATGTGGTTTTTGTTCCACAGTCTGCAGGATTGTAGTTCTTCTTGCTTCTGCTGTCTGCCCTCTGGTGGATGAGGCTATCTAAGAGGCTTGTGCAAGTTTCCTGATGGGAGGGACTGGTGGTGGGTAGATCTGGCTGTTGCTCTGGTGGGCAGAGCTCAGTAAAACTTTAATCCACTTGTCTGCTGATGGGTGGGGCTGGGTCCCCTCCCTGTTGGTTTTTTGGCCTGAGGCAACCCAGCACTGGAGTCTACCCGGCTCTTTGGTGGGGCTAATGGCGGACTCTGGGAGGGCTCATGCCAAGGAGTACTTCCCAGAACTTCTGCTGCCAGTGTCCTTGTCCTCACGGTGAGACACAGCCACCCCCTGCCTCTGCAGGAGACCCTCCAACACCAGCAGGTAGGTCTGGTTCAGTCTCCTATGGGGTCACTGCTCCTTCCCCTGGGTCCCGATGCACACACTACTTTGTGTGTGCCCTCTAGGAGTGGAGTCTCTGTTTCCCCCAGTCCTGTCAAAGTCCTGCAATCCATTCCCACTAGCCTTCAAAGTCTGATTCTCTAGGAATTCCTCCTCCCGTTGCCAGACCCCCAGGTTGGGAAGCCTGACGTGGGGCTCAGAACCTTTATTCCAGTGGGTGGACTTCTGTGGTACAAGTGTTCTCCAGTTTGTGAGTCACCCACCCGGCAGTTATGGGATTTGATTTTATTGTCCTTGCACCCCTCCTGCCGTCTCACTGTGGCTTCTCCTCTGTCTCTGGATGTGGGGTGTCCTCCTTGGTGAGTTCCAGTGTCTTCCTGTCGATGATTGTCCTACAGCTAGTTGTGATTCTGGTGCTCTCACAAGAGGGAGTGAGAGCCCGTCCTTCTACTCCACCCTCTTGAACCAATCCCTGTATCTTTTTATAATAAAACGTTTTATAGTAAATGTGCTTAATGTTAAAATATTAATTTGGAAAATATAGAAAAGTAAAAGAAAAAGTCTTCAGTCCCACCACCCAGAGACAAGTATTAATTCTAATCCTGCTCTTCCTTTTATTGGTATTTTGTTTTTCATTCCAGTCTTTTCTCTGTGTTGATTTTCTCTTACATGTGCTTAATGATATTCTTAAATGTTATTATGTTATTTCAAATCCTGTTTTACAAACATTATTTTCAACTCTTGTATCGTCAAAGCCAGTCCCATAGATATAGCAAAATAACTTTAGTAGTTTAAAAATATGTTAATGCTTGTTAGCTCCACCCCTGTTTCTAAAAGGACTGGTAGTTGGAGAACAGTTTTTCTTCTGCCATCAGTAGGAAGCCCAGCCTCCTATGGCCGAGTGCAGGGCCTGAGCGGAAGGAGCTGACCCTGGTTCTTGTGTCCCCAGATGGGAGGAGAAGATCCCTCTGGCCAAAAGCACCCTGGAGAAGACCTGGCTGTTCCATGAGATTGGCCGCTGCTACTTGGAGCTGGACCAGGCCTGGCAGGCCCAGAATTATGGTGAGAAGTCCCAGCAGTGTGCCGAGGAAGAAGGGGACATCGAGTGGCAGCTGAACGCCAGTGTTCTGGTGGCACAGGCACAAGGTATGGGCCCCATGAGGACCACCCTACCTTTCCCATGTCAGGGCCGGGAATCCTGTGGCCTGAACTTACCATCCCAGTGTATCCCTGCGTTGAGAGTTCCGATTCTGAGAGTGGGGATAAACCCCTGCATTTTGACCAGCGTATGTAGTGCCTACTTTAAGCTAAGCTCAGTTAGGGCTTGGGGGCCCCTGAGAGCTGCCCTGCCCTTGAGGAACTCATCTGCAGACCAGCACAGTGTCATGTTGTCATCAAAACAGCTCCACTCCTCTTGCCTCGGTAGCCTTTACATGTGCCTTCTTGTACCTAATCACTGTGCAAGCCAGTGATGGAGGCATTATTGCCCTCTTATAGTTGGGGAAATGGAGACTCCGAGTGGTTCAGCAGATTGCCCCAGGTCACGTGAGGGAACTTTTTCGGGTGATGGAAAAGTTCTAAAATCGGGTTGTGCTGATCATTGCACAAGCCTATAAATTTACCCCAAATCGTTGAACCCCAAATCGTTGAACCCCAAATCGTTGAACTGTATACTTACGAACGGGTGCATTTCATACTAAGTGAATTACATCTCAATAAAGTTGGTAAAAAACAGCAAGGGGCAGGGGTGAGGAGGAACAGATGAAACAAGATTGGTGATATTTTGGTATTTTTAAAAATTTTTAAATTTTATATCGGAGTATAGTTGATTTACAATGTTGTGTTAGTTTCACGTGTACAGCAAAGTGATTTAGTTACACATGTACATAGGTCTATTCTTTTTTCAGATTCTTTTCCCATATAGGTTATTACAGAGCACTGAGTAGAGTCTCCTGTGCTGTGCAGTAGATCCTTGTTGCTTATCTATTTCATATGTAGTAGTGTGTATATGTTAATCCCAACCTCCTAATTTATCCTAATTTATCTCTCCCCCCAACCTTTCCCCTTTGGTAAGTTTGTTTTCTAAGTCTGTGAGTTAGTTTCTGTTTTGTAAATAAGTTTATGTGTATCATTTTTTTTTTCCTGCGGTTTTTTTTTTTTTTTTTTGCGGTACGCGGGCCTCTCACTGCCGTGGCCTCTCCCGTTGCGGAGCACAGGCTCCGGATGCGCAGGCTCAGCGGCCGTGGCTCATGGGCCCAGCCGCTCCGCGGCACGTGGGATCTTCCCAGACCAGGGCACGAACCCATGTCCCCTGCATCGGCAGGCGGACTCCCAACCACTGCGCCACCAGGGAAGCCCTGTGTGTATCACTTTTTAAGCTTCCACATATAAGTGACGTCATATGATATTTGAAGCTGGGTGATGAGTAATGGGGGCTCATGATACTATTCCTCCGACTTTTCTGTATATTTGAAATATTTCATAATATGAACTTAAAAAACAAATAGCTTACAGTAATAAGCAAGCAGTGGAGCTCGGGCTCCTAATCACTGTGCTGAGCTGCCCTGCTCCGGGCACGCAGCTGACCCCAGAGAAGGAGGAAGCGTGATAGGTGCTCTGATCAGGGGCCTTAGCACACATTCACTTATTCACATCACAGATGCTTTACCTGGCACCTTCTAGGCACCAAAGCTGGGCATACAGTAGGGAGCAAAACTGGTAACTATCTCCTGCCCGCATGCCTGAGGAGTAACTTTTAAGCAGAAACATTAAGAATGCAAAGGCACCAGCTGTTCCAAGATCTGAAGACAGAACTTTTCGGCCAAAGGGACTGCATTTAGGGAGGTGGGCAGGAGTTTGGCTGATTTAAGAAACTGAAGGAGACCAGTGTCAAGCTCCTGGGGGCCAGGAAAGTCTGGAGAGAGGAGGCTGGTGAGGGGCCAGACCCACAGGGACTCCTGGGCCTCGTTACGTCTTGTAGATTCTTCCCTAAAAACATAGAGAAAACCACTTGAAAACTGTAAACTGGGGAAGACATGATTACTGTGGCGTTTCCTAGAACTCTTTCCTGTTCCTGTGAGGACTTTTCTTTCTTTGGCTGTGCAGCAGGGCTTGCACGATCCTAGTTCCGCAACCAGGGATTGAACCCAGACTCCAGCTGTGAAAGCACCCAGTCCTAACCACTGGAGGTCTTATTAGGCCCTGAGGGCCTTTGGAGAAACAGGCCACTCACTGCCGGTGTCAGTTTCCCCACTCTAGGGTGGAAAAATCCAATCGAGTGCAGCAGCCCGAGAGCCACTGGGTTGTAGAGGCAACACAGCCGAGCGGGCAGACCTTGGGCTCTGGGCCCTCCTGGCAAGTGCCATTCTGTGCCTCAGTTTCGTCCTCTGTAAATGGGGATAATTATATCAATAGTATGTGCCTAGAGGGTTGGTGTGAAGAAATAAGGTAATACCTAAGCGTGTAAGCACTTAGAACAAGAACTAGCATATAGCGAGCACTCCAGAAATACTCATTTCTTCCTTCCTGCCCTCTCGTCAGCTTCCCATAAGTGTTTCTAACACAGATGAGAAACAATTACAATCCTTAGAAAAGTCGATTTATGGCTCAACGAAAATGTAAATATAAATGTGTAGATTTGTGGATACACAGAGGGGGGAGGAGAAGAGGAAAAGGGCTCCCAGAATGAAGATAACTTCAGGTTATAGATTCAGTTAAAAGGAACGGCCTTTACTGCGTCACTCCCGTAAGTGTTATGACTCCTATTCCGACCTGCGGTGTCCGAATGACATTGACATTTATTCAGGGTGGTCTCTGAGGGATTACAGTGACTTTCCTTCCTTTCAAATGTGTATTTGAAAAAGAAATATGTATTGACCTCATTCACTGTGACTCCACAGACTTTCAGAACTATATTAGAATTGCTTTTCAGATATAATGCCTTTTGCAGTTTGACTTATGGACACAAGGCCCTTCTTTCCCCGGGGATCCCAAAGCAGTTCATGGGGAGGGGTGGATCTTGGGGTCCTCAGTTATAAGAGGAAGCAGTGGTGTGTAAAGAAAGTGGAGTGTGGTGTTCCCAGACCCTGGCAGGTGAGCACTTTTCTCCTTCCTTCCTGAAATTAACCTCTTTTCAAGGGCAGTCAGTCAGTCCATAGGCCATCATCCCTGGCCCAGCACTAACCTGTCCGGTGAGTGAGCTCGGGGGAGCTGCCTCCTCTCTGGGTTCGGATTGTACCAGCGTGGGCATTGATGTCCCAGCCGCTGGCCCACGAGTCACAGCCAGCCCATCCAGATGTGTTTGGTCTCCACAGTGTTCTTAACAAATTTGAGTGAACATTAAAAAAAAAAAAAAAAGATATTTTCTGGAACAATCTAAAGATGGGGCAAGATGGAGTTGTCCCCCTGGAGACGCATGATGTGGGCACAGACCCCTTCCCTCACTGACTCTTTGCACCTGAAATCCAAGGCTCAGCTTCTCAGGTTCTGGTCCTTAGCAGTGAGGACCAGAAATATCCTGGGTGAGGACCCAGGAATGTCTGGAAAGGGTGGTGCTGGGAGGCCCAGATGCTGCCCGCCTGGGGCTGCTCCCGAGGGCCACTGGCATCTGCAGGGCGGCCGCATCGTGCAGCACACAATGTCACAATCTACCTGTCTCCCTCGTGCTCTTCAGTGAGGCTGAGAGACTTCCAGTCGGCAGTGAACAACTTTGAGAAGGCCCTGGAGAGAGCGAAGCTCGTCCATAACAGCCGGGCACAGCAGGCCATCATCAACGTGAGCCTCTCCCCCGCTGGGCCGGCTCTGGGGCTGGGTGGGCCCCCCGGGCTCTCAGCCCCAGATATTTATCACCCCCCCAACCGCAGGGCACATTCTGGGTAGGGCAGTGGCTTTCCACTGTTTGTGTGTTACCGCCATCAGATTATATAGCAACCCAGCCAATACCCATACTGTGAACTTTTTATTTTGGGCCACGCCTTGCAGTGCAGCTTGCAGGATCTTAGTTCCCAGACCAGGGGTCGAACCCGCACACTCGACAGTGCACGCTCGGAGTCCCAGCCACTGGACTGCCAGAGAATTCACCTCAATACACATATTTTTCTTTGAAAAAACAGACAAAAAAATAGAAAGTTTTACAAAACATATTTACCTTTACTATGTACACTGATATTTCCTACTCTATTCTGTTTTCTTTTCATTCCTTTTCTTTAATGCTGGCTGAGCCCTCCTAAGCGCGTTTTAGGACTTGCAGTTTGAAAAGTACCAGCCCCCCCATCCCCCACCCCACCCCCAGGAGCCGATAAGAAATCAGCGTGATTGCCTCACCCTCTTGCGCTGCTTGGTCAGGCAGCCATTTAGAGTAAAAGGAATTAAAAGTAAGTAAAAGTTACGGTTCAGTTCCTCAGTCACACTAGCCATGTTTCAAGTGCCCAATAGCCACGTGAGGCCTCTGGGTACCACACGGTGCAGATCTAAAGTCTTCCCGTCACTGCACCAAAGGTGACGACCATGGTCCCGGCCCTCAGGAAGTGTGGTGTCTACAGGAAGCTTAGAACACAACGCCCTCATTCCTGACCCGTGCGACAGGGACTAGGGGATTCAGCGTGAGAGCCTCAGCGGGTAGGCAGGGCTGGGCCTTTCCCCTAAAGGAGGGTTTGAGGTTGCCTTGGAGGCTGGGCAGGTTTTGAAAGTAGGAGGCAAAGAGAAGCGCCTGTCAAGCCAAATGGACCCACGGCCCTAAGTGGCTCCTCATGGGACCAGGCCCCTGACCTTTCACCCCCCGGAATGGCATCTCCAGGCAGGAAAGCATACGACGGGGGCAGACCAACGCTGCACAAGAGAGTCCAGGCCCGGCAGACGTTTCCTGAGTGTTTAGTGGTGTTCCGGCCCGGGGGGGTCAGGGGGAGGGCTGCGACGAAGAGGGCAGAGTTGCCCTCAAGATGCACACAGGCTGAGTTCCAGGTCCCCGGGGGTCCTGCAGACACGGTGGGAGCCCCTCAGAAGGCAGGCCAGCCCCCAGCCACAGTGTGTGGCTGAGTCCCCTCCGTGGCTTGCTGCCTGGCTGAGGGCTGAAGGGCTTGCCTTGTCTCTTTTACACTGACTGAAGCCAAGAGAAGCTTTAGGTAAAAAGGTGGGACTCAGTAGACAGACGCAACCCCCCAGAACAGGCCTGAGCCCGAGGGAAATGAGTTTGAGTTGCCTGCAAGGCGCGCTATCTCTCATACCACTTAGTGTGGGGAGTTCCAAGTGCATAGTATCCACTAACCTCAGGGCGGCAGTCTTCAGAGGAGCCAGGGGAAAGGGGAGGGGGCAGGGTTCTGCACAGCCCTGCCTCCTGGCGCTGGGGCTTGGGTGGGGAAAGGACAGGTCACACGGGGTTAAGAGAGCTCACCAGCTCCTCTGCCACCCACAGGCCCTGGACGATGTCAACAAGGGCATCATTGAAGAGCTGAAGAAAACCAACTACAGGGAGATACTCAGAGATAAGAAGGAGAAAGGTGAGTTCTGGGGCCTGGAAGACGGCAACCTCAGAACGCTCCCTCTGCTTTCCTTCTGGCAGTCTTCGCCATGCTTTCCTGCCATTCCTTCGGTCGGGGGCTTGGCACTGCTCACCAAGTATTCTGATTTCAGTGCCGCCACCAACCCCAGCCTTTCTTGGGACAGGAGAGGGAGACCTCGGGCTGGGGTCAGAACCCATGCTGTCTGCCCTATTTCTTCAGTACTCCCATATTTCTTTAATCAATTCATCAACTATTTGTTGAGCGCTTGTCACGTGCCAGGAAGGTGTGAGATTTGGGAGGAGACAGAAGCTTGGTCCCTGCCCTGGAGGAGCCCACAGCCCAGTGGGAGAGCCAGGCGATTAGAGTTGCCGGCGACCAGGGCTCCTGCACCGGAGCTTGCTGTGCAGGGGGACAGTGCTCTGCTGTGAGGTCCCGGGCAGGGGCGCTCCCAGTTCTGTGGGGAGGTAGGGAATGCTTCCAAGAGGGAGAATCTTCTGCTTCAGGCTCCAAAAGATGCCCAAGCATTTTCCAGATACAAGATGGAAGGTTGAGGGCATTTCCGGTGGGAAACAGCAGGAGCAAAGACAGGTGGAATGACAGTAGCTTACAGTGCGGGGGCTCTTACCGCTGGCCCGACACTGGGTTAAGCATTAGACAGAATGATCTCACTCGGTCCTCACCACCTAGGAGGTAGGTACTGTTTTGGGGGCACTGGAGCCTGAGTGATCTGCCCACGTCACACAGCAGTCTGACTCAGAGCCACACGCTCCCCTGCTGCCGGCAGCTGCTCTTCAGGGCCAGCAGTGGGCAGCGCAGGGGTCGGGGCAGGGGACCCAAGGGCCAGCTGAGCTGCATAGGTGGCAGGGCTGTGCTCCTGCTGGCCGGTCTAGCCCTTATCACATTCTTTCTCCCGAGGGCTCCAGGGAGTAGAGAGGCCTTTGATCCCCCGCCTTGCTCTAGGCTGTCTGACTGGCTCCCATGAAAGGAGTGAGGGAAGAGGAAGTGGCTGGGACTCCAGGCCCCACTGTCGACAGGGACCAGGGACGGGCCCCAGAGGGGCAGGGATGATAAGAGAAGCTGACCTCCACTCGGTGCTTCCTGCATGCCAGGCGCTCGTCTAAGCTTTATACATACCGACTCATCTGATCCCAGAGCACTAAGAAATAAGTATTCCATGCTTGATTTTACGGGTGTGGACATGGAGGCAGAGGGGTTAAAGTCCCACAGCGGATTCCAGTCTCCAGCAGCCTACCTCTGGAACCCATGCTTTTCCCACGCTTGTGCAGTTTCTGTCTGCCCCTCTGAGGGGCCCTCCCTCCAGCCAAATCGCAGTAAAGGGTAGCTGGGGCTGGGGCTCCGGGCTCCTCGGGGGACAGAGCCCCTTGCAGGCACCGAGGCTGAAACCCTCTCTGATCCAGGTACAGCAGCGGGAATTTGGGCATGGGGTTTCTGGGCACCTGAGCAGCCAGATGACAGCCTTTTATTATCCAGCACCTGCCACGTGGTGGCCAGATCCCCTCAGAGATCTGCCTCTGCCTCCACACACCCTTGGAACTGCGCTCAGAAGCCACAGAAGCAATAATGTGAAGGGTACAGCAGGGAAGTGGCAGATGCTCCAAGCATCCTCCTCCCTTGGCCGACGGAGTGCTGGGAAAGGCATCCTGAAAACTCCTCCGGAAGGCCCTGAGGCCGGCAGCTGCTGGGCACTTCCCCTCCCGGACAGCAGGTGGCAGCATTGCATGTGTCTTGGCCAAACCACGTCATTTTCCTGCTCTGAACCCAGAGCCCCTATAGGCGGCTTAGAAACCAGGACTTCCAGGAAGTGGAAGGAGACTCAGGAAGGGATTGGTAACTTTTCTCTGTAGCTGGTAAAAACAACGAGCAAAGATCCCTTGGGTTGTAAAATTGCTCTCCGTCCGAACTTCCACCACAATCTGCTCACGTTTTTACGGGGAACCTCCCAACAAATGATGAATATGCTTCCCAGGGACGAAGGGAAATGCAGAATGGGGATGCTGGAGGAGAAGCCTCTGTCCTTTTCCAGCACCTGTGCTAGTTCTCATAGGGAAAAAGAAAGAATGTGGTCTGGGGGCAGACTGTACTGGGTTCAAATCCTGGCTCTGCCAGTTATTTATTTGCAATGTAACCATCGTGTGTGATTTCCCCTTTATCAATCTCAGGTCCCTTGACTGCAAACTCGAATCAGTAACACTATGCAATTTTTTTTTTTTTTTTTTTGCGGTACGCGGGCCTCTCACCGCTGTGGCCTCTCCTGTTGCGGAGCACAGGCTCCGGACGCGCAGGCTCAGCGGCCATGGCTCACGGGCCCAGCCGCTCCGCGGCATGTGGGATCTTCCCGGACCGGGGCACGAACCCGTGTCCCCTGCATCGGCAGGCGGACTCTCAACCACTGCGCCACCAGGGAAGCCCCACTATGCAATTTTTTGATGACTGAACGGTATAATCTGTGCCGCTCACATGATGCCAGGAACAGAGCTGGTGCTCAGTAAATGATGATCCCTTTTCTCATTTTGGAAAGGGGTGCTGTCTCTTAGAAGCACAGGCCCCCACAGGCTGGGGTTCCCCCAGGCCCGGAGACGGACAAACTTCTACCTTTCTTCCCTCCTTTCTCTTGTTTTTCAGAAGATGCCACTACGTTGGATAGTATAACAGTGATGGCAAAGGAGAAGGAAACGATGAGAATGAGAGATGAACCCGAGAAGGTCACCGAGAAGGTGATGAAGCAGTGCGAGCGGGAGCAAATGGAGAGTGAGAAAGCGACCGAAGGTGACTTGTCTAAGGAAACCCTGGGGATCACAGCTAGTGGACCAGAAGAACATAGGCAGAGAGGAGAAGTAGAAAAAGCCAGCCCCTCAAGGAGAAAAGGACCAGCTGCGATGGAGGGAGGTCCAGGAGATGTTGCCGAGGGACAATCCGGAGAAGCAGGCAGGAAACTAACAGCAGTGAACAGAGGGGAAACAAGAGAAATTTACAGGAGGCCTTCAGAACTGGACCAAAACCTCTCAGAAGAATCAAGCACGAGGGAGTCCGAAGGACTAGAGAAGACACTTTCAGAAATCGGCAGAAGAGGGTCCAAAGCACTGGGGAAAACAGAATCGGGAGAAATAAGAGAACCAGAAATAACAGAAAATTCTGAAAAAATGGAAAAAGATGAAAAGGAAGACGAATGAAGCCATCGAGTAGGCATTACAATCAGGAGGCTGGTGTTCACAGGGACCACGGAGATCTTATTAAACTGGACCTTCAAGCTGAGATTTGTCTCTAATAGGAAAACATGTGGACTGGGTCCCACAGGTCACCTCTGTCTCTTTCTATTACTGTGTTCCCTTTAAATGTGCATCTTTCACTCTTACAAACCCTGAGTCTGTCATTTTGCCTCCTTACCCCCACCCATTCTCAGAAGAGCCTTAGAGAATGAATGAGTGGGCATGGGGTACCACTTTCCAAGCAGAACTCTGATGTTCTGATTAGGTGAGAAACACGGAGACCCCCAAACAAGGCCTGACCCAGAATGTGACCAAGGTGTGAAATGCGGTCCTCCTCCCCAGGCCCTGTGCAAGGACCTCATGGAAGAAATGAGAAAGGTGCTAAGAAGAAAGGGTTTCAGGAGAGTGAAGAAACGGACGAGCTCCAAGGAGCTCAAAAAGCTTAAAGGGGGGAGGAAAGAGAAAGGCCTGGGAGTAGAGGTGTGTCTGCCCAGCTGCTGGCCATTGGTCTTGCTGAGTACCTACTGTGTGCAGGGCACTGTGGGAGGCTTTCTGGAAGAAATAAGGATGGGACAGCCTCAGCCACCACACAGTGAGGGAGACCTACTTGTAAACCCCTAAGCCTTGAAAACAGAATGAAGTGCACGCTGGCACTGGTGGGGCTCTAGGAGCCCAGAGGGAGAAGGAAGGTGTCTGCCCACGAACAGGGAGTAGCTGAGAGTAGGAGCTGCGGCTGGACCCACCTGTGCCACCCCAGGGCCGGGCGGTACAGTCAAGTAAACCAGGCTCCTCCAGCTTGTCTCCTCCTCTGTGTAACGAGTACCTGCCTCAGTGACTGGTGTAAAGATTATACGGGTGCTTAGCACAGCACGTGGCGCACAGGAAGCTCTTAAATACCCACCCACTGCGCTTTCGGTGGTTTCACAGAGGGGGTGGCTGAGCAGCTGAGGACGCGAGTTAGGATTTCATTACATTATTCATCCGCTCCTTTGGCCACTGCCATCCTAGTCCCAAACGGCTGCGGTTGGGACCTGCCGGACTAGGGGGAGGCAAGTGAGGCATTTCAGATGCAACTTTTAAGGAACGTAGGGCCAAAAAACTCAATAAGGAAGAGAAAGTATTTTAACGCAATACTGTAAAAAACAATCAATGCAAAACCCGATGATGAGTAAAATATCAAAATTTAAAATAAAGACAGGATTCGACCTTGTACTTGCACGACCCTGCCTCCCTCGCCTCAACCTAATCTCGGCGCGGGACCCGGGAGGGGTGACTGCCTGCCTCTTCAAGGAGTTCATCATCACCTTGTACAAGAAGAAGAGGCCGCACAAGCCCTCCGCTTCCCACCCCCCAGCGTCCGTCGCCGCACAGGTGCCTCGGAGCCCAGGTGCCCCATGCGCCGGGCGTGCGGGAGGGCGGCCGGCAGCACTGCCGCCACGCCCCAGCGCCGTCAGTTTCGGGTTTCGACTCGCCGCGCCTGCGCAAAGGGGGCCGGGCTTGGCCCACCCGGGGCCAGCCCGCGCGCGCTCCGCCCCCGGGCTATGTAAGGCGGCCCTCAGTGGGGTCGCGTCACCGCTACACTCCGTGTCCCTCCGCGCAGGCGGGCGGCCCCGGAGAGCTGGTGCTGTGACGGCGGCGCCCCCTCCTCATCATGGTAAGCGGGCGCGGGAAGGCCGGGAGGGGAGCAAGCAAACCGGGCCGGGGTGGCACCTTAATGGAAAACGGGAGTATTGGGGAATTTGGGAGAGGAAGTGGCATGCAAATGAGGACCCGAAGTTCCGGAGTTGAGTCGGGGCTTTCTTGGCTCTCCGGTACAGGCCTGAGATAGGGGTGGTGCTGGGAGAGTGGGGAGTGCGGACGGAGCTGGAGGAGGAAGGGAACCGCTCTGCAGAAGGTGCTGCCCCGGAGCCGACCTGGCTGGCGGGTGGGCCGGGGTAGCATGCGCTGGGCCCGCGCTGGGCTGGTGTTCGGCGTCCTCCCCTGCCCAGGGCCTTGTCTGAGATAAATGTACGCCAGCCGAGCACTCAGGGTGCTGGCGGGAGGTGGGGCCTCCCGGTTTAGAGGAGAAGACGCTGTACAGTAAAAACTATTGATTGTCACCTGTGGGTTTTAGCAGGCAGGAAAACAAGTGGCTCAGAGAGGTGCTGCTGACACACAGCAAGGGGTGAGCAGAGCTAGACCCTGGACGCAGGTGCCCTGAACCGCCCAGTCCTGGGGCAGGCACAAAGACCACGACTTTGTGGGGGGTCCAAGGGAGAGGAGGAGGAGGTGGCAGGCGTGCTGAATGAAGCCCTTTGTCTAGCGCTCTCCTGCCCTGCCCCCCGCCAGCCCTTCTGTGGGACCATTGTCCCCCCATCCCAGACAAGAGAGTATTATCTGTCACTGGCATTGTTGGGGGAAGGGAGGCGGTCTTTGGGTGACCCTTCTCCACCCTCACCCTGCTCTGTGCCCTCAGGGCCATGGCCGCTGTGGCTTTGCCCAGACATAGAGCCCCCCACCTCCAAAGAGGTCATCCTTAATAAGTGCCAGGAATATAAAGTTAGGGTTCACTCCTAGAAACGCAGGCTTCAGGCCCTCCCCTGCACGCACTTCCAGCACCGTTTTCCTTTCGAGGTGGCAGCAGTGGGCGATCCTTGAGGCTAATCCTTGAGGCTACGGTTCTCACTAGAGGAAAGAGTTTAGGACCACTCAGACAAGCATCCCTCTCCATCCTGCAAAGCCAGAAGCCATCGGGTCTCAAGGACCGAGGAGAGACGGTCCAGCAACCCAAAGCTTGGAAGGGTGCCCAAGGCACCAGGGGTGCCTGTCAATCAGGGCTGTAGCACCTGAGCCAGCTGGGGTTCCCGGTTAGAATGAGGCCAGAGACAAGGAGGCGAAGCTGGCGGGGTGGCCCCGAGTGACCTGGCTGATGTCTGTCTTCCCCTCCTCACACAGAATAGAGGCTTCTCCCGAAAGAGCCAAACGTTCCTGCCCAAGATCTTCTTCCGCAAAATGTCATCCTCAGGGGCCAAGGACAAGCCAGAGCTGCAGTTTCCCTTCCTGCAGGACGAGGAGACGGTGGCCGCACTGCAGGAATGCAAAACGCTCTTCATCCTGCGCGGCCTGCCCGGGAGCGGCAAGTCCACGCTGGCCCGGGTCATCGTGGACAGGTACCGGGATGGCACCAAGATGGTGTCCGCCGACACCTACAAGATCAACCCCGGTGCCCGGGGGGCCTTCTCCGAGGAGTACAAGCAGCTGGATGAGGACCTGGCTACTTACTGCCGCCGGGACGTCCGGGTCCTCGTGCTGGATGACACCAACCACGAGCGGGAGCGGCTGGAACAACTCTTTGAGATGGCCGACCAGTACCAGTACCAGGTGGTGCTGGTGGAGCCCAAGACGGCGTGGCGGCTGGACTGTGCCCAGCTCAAGGAGAAGAACCAGTGGCAGCTGTCAGCCGACGATCTGAAGAAGCTGAAGCCTGGTTTGGAGAAGGACTTCCTGCCGCTCTACTTCGGCTGGTTCCTGACCAAGAAGAGTTCCGAGGGCCTCCGCAAAGCCGGCCAGGCCTTCCTCGAGGAGCTGGGCAACCACAAGGCCTTCAAGAAGGAGCTGCGACACTGTAGGTGGCGGGGTGTGGGCGGGTGGGGGCAGTTAGCCTTATTCGTAAGCCCCTCTTGCTGGGCACAGGGTGCTGCATGCACGGGACCATTGTTCTCAAAGCACTGGGGGAGGCAGGGGGCTCACCTGGTACCGGCAGAGGCCGCTTTGGGTGGTGGACGCTCCGTGGGTTATGGGAGAGGCGTTTGCCAGGCACCTTCCCTCTCACCACACCCTTCCTCCTGCCCTCTGCTCCCCATCTGCGCTCTCCCAGCCTGGATCGAGGCCACTGACCCCGTCTTAGAGGTGGGAAAAACAAATTACTTACTACATCAACATTTCGTAAAACCTTGGAGGGAGAATCTGGTCCGATGTTCTCAAACTCATTTTTAGCAGCAGAACTATTTTCTAGAATAGAATATGCCATGCGGCCCTAAGCTGCAGAAAAATGACAACTTGGACTATTGTGACTCCACTGGCGATGGTTCCCAGGCCTTGAGCTATCCAGCGCACCTCCTGTGGCATCCCACAGCTCCAGAGAAGAGTCTCCCTACTCTAGCCCCTCGTTTTTGTAGATGGGAAAATGCCCAGAAGGGTTGCGGGGTTTGCCCAAAGCTGTAGTGAAAGCTCGACTCTGTTGCCTCTAGAGGGGCCTCCCCTTACTGGGTTGGACCAGGGTTCGCTCCTGCAGGGGCTGTTTGCTCCATCGAGAGGGGAGGTTTGGGATAGGGAAGGACCCTGGTGGCCTTCCTTCTCCAGTGGCCCATTGGGGAATGTGTCACCCACTCCCGCTAACCATCTGTTCTCCCTTTAACTCATTCCTAGCTCCCCCTGATTCTAGACTATCTTCATACTTGAAATATCCCCACCCGTGTTTCTTTGCATTGTCAGAGGTAATTTGTGCCGGTATAAGTTCTCAGAGAACTCTTATCTCGGCTCCTAAAATTCGAATGCTGGGAAACCAGGGAACTGTGGTGCCTGCACCAGCCGGGCGTGAGCCCTTTACCTGTGAAGAGCGTGACAGAGAAGCTCCCAAGGCAGGGCTCCTAGTTAGAGCTGGTTCTGCCCTGGAGATTACCTCTTGAAGATGCTTTTACCATTAAAAACTGGGATCCTTCTGCCCAGGACACAGCAGGAGAAATGTAATGGGCCACAAACAAGGCCTGCCCTCAGAGTAGAGGTCTCCCTCCCCTGTGGAGGGTGAGCGACGTCCTTCACAGGGATTCAACCCTGGGGGTAAACAGGAAAAGCCTAGTGACTCTGAAGCTAGCCACAAGGCTTAGAGTCTGGAAATTGAAATCACAGATACCCCAAGTCTCATCGAAACTACCAGCCACATAATGTCATCCTGTTACCTCCCAAGACCCTTCCTGCACCAGGCCCATTGCAGGCTTTCTTTCACCAAACGAGGCTGTAAGCTACTTATTATTACGGTGACCAGGTAACTTCTTGTTCAAGTGGCCCCTGAGTGAAATGGGGCACGACTAATACTTACCTAGGTGGTCTTGGGAAAACTGGAATGTGTGGTCACCCCCAGTTGTATTTGATTGACAGATTAGGGTCAATCACTTGCCCCAGGTCCACAGGCTTGGAAGTGGGCTGGATGTTAATTATGCTGTTTCGGGCTCCTTCCATTATACCACACAGTTCCCAACCTCTTTTTTCTTTCTACCCCATTTTTCATGACCTGCTTCCCTCTTTTCAGATGTGTAGCTAGTGAAGTTCAGATTCCCTTGGCATATGCCACCTACCCCTGGGTTACAAGTACCTTAGTTTTCACATCTGGGTAAGAGACGTAAAAATCTGCAGAACATAAAGCAGGGAACTTATATCAACACCTTTTCATAGCTCCAAAGTTGCTATTAATTTGACCAACTAATGAATGGTAGTGGATCGCTCAGTTATAGTGGATTGCAAATTTATACTTAATGTCTGATTTTTTTCCTCTGGGTCTCCCATGGTCTTGGTGATAGATGTTGCAATGCCCCTGCTCTCCCGCCCTGACTGCCCCACTCTCTCTCCCTTCAGTTGTCTCCGGGGATGAGCCCAGGGAGAAGATTGAACTGGTCACCTACTTTGGGAAGAGACCCCCGGGCGTGCTACACTGCACAACCAAGTTCTGTGACTATGGGAAGGCCGCTGGGGCAGACGAGTACGCCCAGCAGGATGTGAGTGCTCCTCGGGGACACCTGGCTGAGGTGGGGAGAGGGCAGGGTCTTCTGGAGATGGGTACCGGCTCAAGGCAGGGACCACAAACCAGACAGCCTCTCAGGAAAAGAGGCGGCTCCATCCCCAGCTCACCGAAGCCTGTGTAGTGCCCCCCAGGGCCTGCCCATCAGAGCCTGTTCCTTCTGCAGACGTGCAGAGAATGCTGGTTGGCAGCAGCTCCTGCTCTGGCCTCTAAGCCTGTGTTCAGTTCCGAAGGCCAGAAGTCCCTTACCCCCAGTCTGAAGCCTGGCTGCGCTCTGAAGTGGGGAGTGTCGACAGGGAGGCTTATTGGCTTAGGGGTACCAGCCCCGTCCCTGCCACACAGCCCAAGTCTCCCGCCCACAGCCTCTGACATGGGATCCTTAACCACCAGGCGTGGCTGACTCCAGCTTCCTTCAGGTTGCCTTCACAGCAAGGCCGTCCCTGACCCTCTGCCAGCTCCCCCACTTCTCTGCCTAGGTTATTCATTGGTCTCCTCCCACACGAATGGAAGCTCCGAGGGCAGCACTGTTTACAGCGTGGTTCACCTTGTATCCTTAGCACCTATCACAGCTGCATGAATGAACACAGCCCTTTCACTCCCATCTCTGTTCATTCATTTAGCAGTGTTTATTAAGCACCTGT